ACGGTTCAGATTAAAGGGAGATGGATATAAATATCTCACTTCACACCAAACTCCAACCCTAGTCCAGCCCCCCCATCGGAGAAGAAGAACCAGTCATCGGAGAAGGGAGCCGATCGCCACCCGCCGTTGTTGCAGAGCCACCTCCGACTGCCAAAAAAGGTAAACAAGTTTCCATTTACTTGAAATTTGATTTTGAACACCCCCATGACCAAATTGGAGCAAAAGAACCGGCAAATAAACCGAAAACTACAAGTAAAGCCCAGCGGCGCTGCCACAGGAAAAACTAAAAACCACCTCCGATGAGGCCCTTCCCGATTCCCGTTTCATGTGATTTTTCTACCATTGTATTTACCACTCTATTTTCCACAAGTTGACCGAAAAAAAAGTTTAAACGCAAAGGTGAGACGGCAGAGCCGCCGCACCAGAAAACCTCACCGCTGGTAAGCTTCTGTTTTTTGAATTTTTCGGCCAACCGATGTCCTTTAACGTGTTTTCTCGCAGGGATGAGTATAAAATAGGCCGAAATCGGTCAAAACTGGCTGAAAACGGCCAATCCAAGGCAAACCGTTTTTGGAGCACGGCGGTGCCGCCGTGCTGAAATTCTGAAATTGGTCGGAAAAGGTTTTTAACACTGATTTTTGAATTTTTGGGGTATATTTAGGTACCTGAAGCGTGTTTCAATCTCCGCATGAAAATTTAGAAAACTCGGGGACCGCTAGTAGGCACAGCTGAAAGTTTAGTATTTTGAACATCGATTCAAGTAAGAATCCATCACCCATTCCTTGTTATGAAATTGAAGTTTAATTATAAATAATACGGCATTTTACGTAATTTAGAAAACCTCGATAATTAATTACATGTTACTAATGGGGGCGGAACCGGTTATTTATCACTATTTATCATATTTTAACTGATCGATTGATTTTACAGTTTTAAATAATGATAATACGCTGGAGTTGGTAAGATGATTTAGTTGTATTTTCTTAATGCATGTATTGCTCGTTTTGCGTGATTTACAGTTAATTGTGAAACTGAAAATTAAATATAAATGGAGAATTGCTTGATTAAGTGAATGAATGAATGATAGCATTACTGTATATCCTGAGAGATGGTGAACAGACCAGGTGCATAGGAAACTTTACCGTAAACGTTGCATCATACTGGACGGGGTATCGAAGATTGGTACTTTAGCGCTCATACCGAACGAAGTATGGGGATGGTCCGTTTTACCCTCATACCAGACGGGGTATTGAGAGATAGTATTTTTTACACTCATATCAGACAAGGTATGAGGACGGCCGGTTAGTTGACAACGTTAAATAAGGGTTCACCCGTAGTGGGAACATCCTTATGGACCCTCATGGATACCAGTAAGCAGATAAAAAGATAAAGTTATTGTCCTGGTTAATTGAATATGAGATTATGATATTGTTTGTATTATTGCCTCTATAGGTCAATTTTGAAAATCTCGTTATGGTAAGTATATAATAAATAATTTTATTTATAATAAATGAATTTACTTAAATTAAGAGTTCTATTAGTTATTTTCATGATTTTTACCAACTTTCATTTATGTATCGTTGAGTATGTGACATTCTTATTGGGTTAGTGTAACTCACTCTTTCATTAACCATTTCAGATTAAGATGACCAAGATCCAGATCCCGATCCATAAGAGAATTGCGAATAAAATGTCCAGTTGTTTTGTAGCGCCCGAGAAATTGAAGAAGAAGAGAAAAAAAAAAAAAAAAAAAGGGGGGGCCACGTCAGCAGACCCAGTCAACAGTCCCGGCCAACCGGGACCTGCCACGTGGCAAGACCACGTCGATCCGGGACGGGCGATGTTGGCGATCAGCGTATGCGCGATCGGACGGCCCAGATTGAATCAAAATGGACGGCTGAGATCAAAAGGCAAAAAGGTATAAATAAGACCCCCACACTAGACCACAAAACCCTACCCGCCTGCCCTCGCCGGAGAAGACGAACCAGAAGCCGGCCGCCGCCACCTGCTGCCGCACCGGAGGGATTTCCGACCGCCGATCGAGGTAAATTTCATACCCCCGACTCGTTTTTCCACGCTGATTTCCCATGTGGCCAAATCGGAGCCAAAATCCCGGTCAAACGGTCGGAAAACACGGCCGAAGCCCAGCGGCGCCGCCGCGTCCCTCCTCGGTTTTTGCCTCCGATGAGGCCCTTCCCGGCCTCCGTTTAATGCAATTTTTATATCACCGTGATCACCATTCTTTTCTCTACAGGCTGATTGGAGTCGAATCACCAAAACACGAACTTCACCGGAGAGCCGCCACACCCGAGAGCACCGTCGCCGGTAAGCTTCGATTTTCCGTAATTTTTTGGCCCCCCGAGGGCCCTAGAGTTGTTTAATCGCAAGGATCGATGCAAGTGTGGCCGAATTCGGCCGAAACGGCCAAACCGAGGCGAATCGCCGCCGCAAGCGGCGGCGCCGTCACCGGAGTACGGCGGAGCCGCCGTGCCGGAAATGCGATATTGGCCGAAAGGGGCCCTGGGCCTAATTTGGGATTTTTTGGAAAACGTGCAGGTACCAGTAGTGCGTTTCAGTTCCCCGGAAAAAATTCAGAAAAAATTTGGGACAGCCTGTAGGCGCACTGTGAAGCCGTGTTCGGACCCCGAAACGTGTAAGGACCCCTCACCCTATCTCCTATCACGGTATTAAAGTTCAATAAATGATAAAACGGTATTCCATGAATCAACGAATGTGTGAAATTGCTTAAGGTCGCTAATGGAGCCCGAGTCTAGTGTGTTTGTCGGTTAACTGTTATTTGGCCTGTTTTACAGTTTTAAATGCAGTATGAGGTTTGATGTTTTCATTTTATAGTTTCGTGTGCCTATTGTACTGTTTTATTGATTATGGATTGAATGACTGGGATATTGATGTTGTATGTTGTCTGTTCGGCATAAATTACTATTTTGTTTGTTTGTATGTAGATTGATGATGCTGACTGAGGGAAAAGAGAATGATAGATTATGTAAATGGGTAATTGTATAATGTGGTCAGCCTGACTAGATATCCTGGGAGATGGTGGACGGACCGGGTCAGTAGGGAACCCTACCGGGATTGTGGTCTCCCATACCGGACGGGGTATGGAGATCTTATGTGTTTTGGCGCCCATACTGGACGGGGTATGGGGACGGCCCGTTTCACCCTCATACCGGACGGGGTAATGAGGTTTATAGTTTTGGCGCCCATACCGGACAGGGTATGGGGACGGCCCTGGAATATGATTTCAAGTGTTAAGGGTTAACGGGTAGCGGGACCCCTATGGATCCCCATGGATACTAGTGGGCTGGTAAATGAGGAAAATATGTTGTGTAACGATTGAATTACGAAAGGCTTGGTAAGTATTATGTTATACAGTTTATATATGATTTCATGATGATGAAGATGTTATTGCTTTCGTATATTGTTTTTATGAATTTCACCGAGGTGAATGAATGGTAAAGGTTTTATTATTGATAAAATGATTTGTTGTAAATTATGCTCCATTGGTCTTTTTGTGTTTTCTACCCACCTTTACCTCCGTGACGGTGAGATATCGTGATGTCTTTACTGGGCTAGTGTAGCTCATTCTTTATTTAATCATTTCAGATCAGGAAGACATTGTTCTCGAGCCGGTTCCGCAGGAGGACGACGAAGGGGACGCCTAAAGACTCCATAGTCATATTCGTAGCTTTTACTTTCAAGTTTCTCCTTTAGGTAGTTTGATCTTTTATATTGTGAGCACGTTTTTGGTTTTAGTGTAAGGGATGTTAATCGAATTTTTGACTTCGCTTCCGCATTTGATATTTTTAATATACATTTCATTTTAATTTCCGGGGTCGTTACATGTTTACTTTCCATTTATTTCTTTGATTTTTTATTATTTTTTTAGAATGGTCATTCTCGTAACCTTATTGGGTATTCTAAATTATTATGTAAGGAATGAAAACCCCAACATTATTTTTTTGCTTCCGCATTCAATTTATAATTTATTTTTTTTAAGTTCGGAGCCGTTACATAATCTTTCTGAGAATTTGATTTGTATATTTAAAATTTAGCAAAACATATATCCTATATTTAAGAAATTGTTATCTTCGATATAAACTAAATTTACACTTAATTCTAATAGCATAGATCAAAAAAACACAAATAATACGTTACTTTGTCAGACATGGCACAGTGTTAAAACTAGTTTCTATTACACAAATATGTTAATACAATTAATGTTTAACCTTGATTAGAAGATCACAATATTCAATATTTAACTCTTATTAGCAAGATCATAAATTATCAACTAATGTTTAACTCACATTGGCAAGATTATAATGCATAATATTTAATCCTATTAATAGAATCACAAATTTCACATAATAATATCGAGATATTATTTGTTATTTTCAAAAATATAACGATTTGTAAATTAAGCATATTCTATACAATAATAAATTTATGCGATGCTTTTTTTTTTTTTAAATATATGTTATTTTGAGAAAATTATGTAAAATAGATAAAATAATACAATATAATTTTCTAAAAAATAAAAATTTTAGCTTTTAATTCATTTAAGAAGGTTGGAGAATAAATCACACTCTTCGTAATTTGAGTGTAGAATTTATTTTCAGATCTAAAATTTTTTTTCAGATTAAGATGATCGAATCATCAACTTCAAGTCATGATATCTCCATCCCAAATAGAAAACGCTTGTTTAAAAAACCATCATATTCTCACTGTAATTGCAATTAGGTACACACAACATTAATTCACATCTATGATTGCTTCCATTGAGCTGGCCTGAAGGCTAAATTTTTATATAAAATTTTTATTATATACAAAGCAAGATTTAGTTATAAAATTTTTATATATAATGTAAGTTACATTATATGTCATTAAATGTGTCACTTGACATGCCACCTAAATTTGTTTCACCGTGCAACACACCAGTCCCAGATAGTTTATTAATTGTCACACAATTGCACAAAATAATGTATCAGAACCTAATTTCCACTAAGCCAAATGTAAATATCACATCTTAAACCAAACAAGTCACAAAAGCTATACAAAGAGACTAAGACATCTAGAAATTTTGGTAGGATTACTTATTCATCCTGAAAGATATCAACATCCCAGTTTGTTCAGATTACAGAAGAATTTCTTATCCATTTGCCTGTGATCTTTGCTTTACAACAAGAAAATTTCTCCCGTTGTCAAAAGTACTTTCCTAAACACTTCTACCATTCAGCAATTGATTCAGATTCCAGATGAACTTAAGGCCGCCAACCACTCCGGCAAAGTACCTAAAATCATGATTTAAGAAAACGCCTTGCTATGCTAAAATCTCTGGAAAATTAGAAAGCCATTTATTCTGATTCATATTCAATGACCTAACATAATATAATTACAGAATGCTGCGTGGATTAGGGTGAGAAAGAGACCATCGAGTGAGAAAAGAGATCATCGTTCCAGGACTACCTCTCCTTTTCAGTAAGTCAAACACCCCAATCCTCAGAACAGCTGTTTTAACCATCCAACTCAAGGATGACTAGGCGCATGTACCCAAGTTAGGACACCCCATAGTGAACGGTTCCCACATTCCTGTGAACAGTTACAGCAACAGCTGCAGCACCTACAGCACTGAACTGAGATTGAGCCTGCAGCAGTTTCGCATCAATTGAAATTCGCTCATTTAATTGGTCAATCTTGCCTTGTGGTTGATAATATGGATTCGTATTTGTGTCAACGCCCATCCCAGGAGAAGCTGATTTTGCAGCCATATTGCACTGAGAAACTTGTGGTTTGACTTGTGAACAGTCTCTTTCAGACTTCTCCGGATTCATAGTGTTTGTCCTGAAGAAGCATCGCGGAGAAACTGTCTGAGGAAGTATTGCATTTCTATAAGAAGTCCTTGCATCATAGGCATCTTTGATGCTTCTTCCATTTTCATATGGTAGAACTGATCCCACAACTCTCCCTGGTTTGGCTGTAAAATTGAGAAAACATCTTAAATATATAAACATAACAAGAAACAAAATTTGGCATCGGAAGATTAAAGACCTCTAACCCTCCTAAACAGGAATCCTATTGGAAACCATCTGTACATCACACATTTCTATCAATTCTACATGAATATGTATTTCCAAAACAGATCCTGATGCATCTGACTATGGATTGGCACCCATACCTGATGGCACTCTTGGTGGAGGCCGTGAAACCCTTGATGAATGTGCCAAAGTTAATCCATTTCCAGAAGGTGCTCTATTTTTAGAAGCCTCTTCCATATTCTGTCGGCTATCATGTGAAGCCAAATTTGTTTGAGCATTAGGAGGGATGGTGCTAGAGTGAACTGTAGACCTGTAAACAAAAGACAAGTTGGGATACCCATTGGAAGAGCAGAAAGCAAATAGAACACCTTTTCAGCCTTCATAAACCAATTGGTAATAAGATAAATTTAAGATAACTACAAAATATAGATAATTTTCGTGTAACAAAAACATGTCAATCATATAGGTAACAGTTGTGTAACAAAAACATGCCAATCACATACCGCGGCAGAGAGAAGTGTTTCCTCTCCAAAGGTATAACTGGACCACTTCTACCACTGTTTTCCTCCAGGTATGCAAATTGCTTTCTGAAATGTCCTATGGCACTGCAATAACAGGATGAATTAAGACCAACACTTACTTAAGAACACAGGAAATGTGAGTTAACGACGTATTAACTCACATTAAAGAATCTTAATGCACCCAAAAAAATTAAAAGAAAAAAGGAGTGGACGACATATTATAACCTAGGATACAGAAAATTTGTGCCCTCTGATCCATTCATATAGTCTTTGAGCAGCTGAGGATGAAACTCTAGTATCTCCCTGTATATAAGCTCTCTGATGTCCTCCTTTGTCACCCTTCGTCTCTCAAATTCAAACTCCAACTTTGAGATTGGCTGACAAGAAGGTTCTCTCTCAATTTTTGCAAGGCCCTTAAAGTAGGGATCAGCCAGTGCCTATTAAAGACAATTAAAGATTCAATATAACCAAGCAGCAAAAGCCTTCAGATATAATACACAAGCTCAAGAAAAATAGCATCTTATGGTGGCAAAAAAGTTAGGGATCCTTCCAATTCTTCTAATTCAGAAGAACATATTAAAGTGTCAACTTTAACCAGTCAAGTATACAAAACATTCTCTCATGTGAAGTACACGAAAAAGCCAAGTTATTATGAATTTTGTTTCTTACACTTATGTGTTTTAATTTAATTGACTGTGTGTTAATAGTTGGGAATTTGAATCTCTCTGGTCAGAAGAGTCAGTTTGTATCAATTTATTTTTTGGTACTTCTTACACGTTATTTTTTCGGCTATCCTAGGGGAAAGCAGTTCCTAGGTTGCGATGTATAATTTGCAAGTCTTTATAAAGCTACTTTGATGGGAATAAAGTTACACAGTAGTTTTATTCTGTCAGTGCTTAAGTACTTGACTTAAGGAGATTATAGGATTCTCTTTTAGGAGCCCCAATCATTAATCATTATAGGTCATAAAGGCAGAAGAAGAAACCAAAAACATTATAGTCCGTTAGAGTCTGATTTTGTGTTAGAACACATACCTCCTCAGCAGTTGGCCGATCCTTCGGATCAAATGCTAAAAGCCTCTGTAGTAATCGAACTGCTAATGGATCTACATTGGGAAATTTTTGAGCAAAAGGAACAGGGGTTTTCCTCCGCATTTCTGTTAAGTATTTCCTCGCCTTCTCATTCCGGACCTATATTTGTTCAACAAATAGCCTAGTGGTTATCATCATGAATACAAATTTCACATTGCTAGATAACTTAGAATAGTGGGGATATGCATGAGATTGAGATGACATACTCCTGAAATGGTCTCTGGTGACGGTGTCCCAAGAAGATCAGTGATCAAATCTAACTGATGAACAACACTTTTACCAGGAAACAATGGCTTCCCTGTCAATATCTCAGCAAAGATGCAGCCGATACTCCAAATGTCAATGGCTGGCGTATACTGCAAAGGAAGTGTAGTTCACATCAGACTATTACAAAGACCTACAAATTTTGGAGTGCAAGTAAACCGCTCCGAAAAACTGGCATAACCTGACACCATTACCTGAGTCAAAGATATTTCAACTTCCAGGAGAGTTCAAAGTCCTCCCTGAACAAGAATTATTTTAATCTAGGCATTATTACTAGTTAATATTATAAAGCATTAAAGCATTCCACAGAGAGAAATAAATGTTGTTCCGTGTCATATTATAGACCATAAGAAGAAGAACCTGGTAAACCTTACACATATGCCCATCTTTATATTATATGTCCAATATGTCCTTCCTTTTGTGTTTTATCCCTAGAAAATTGACGGGACACAACCTGCAACCTCATTCTCCATAACATCCTTACAGCACAGATTACACTGATGAGAGACTTGACCCAGAACAAGCCTCCCACTCTAAACTATAAATATATACATAATAAAACATTGATAAAGTTTTTTTGGATAAATGATTTACAATACCATAATTTTTTTTACTTCTGAAATAACACTACTAAGAAGGAACTTAAAAGAGATGGACTTTTTCACTGAGTTTGGAGAAGCCAGCCGATACCAAATTCTGGAAGTTATGGGAAAGGGAAGTTGTGGACTTGTATGTTGCTCTTGATGCTCATACTGGGGAGAAAGTGGCAATTAAAAAGATACAGTACCATAATATTTTGCCAAATGTTAAGAGCAACCATGAATTTATATATCATAGAAATTCACAGTAGCCAATAACTTTATCCAGAAATAAAATAGTTCATACTAATTTTCCAACTAGAAGAAGATCAAGAAAAAGAAAGCAAGAACCGAGGCTTAAAAATGCCAATACATCCCATCATTCAGAAATAATTTTGTGGCAAATTTGGGAGAAAAAAACAGAGTCAGAAAACACCCAAACATAATCTAAATTTTATTGGGATGCAGGAGATGCTGCACTTATCCATCATCTTGGTTATGTAAATATAATTGAAAAATATGGAAACAGCAAGGAAATACCGGTAGCATACAAGCATTACAACCATGTAGGTACCATATAATAAGAACAATTATGCATTTTCGGACTACGCATGTAGAAGTAGGTAGATCGATAGATAGGTACACACTAGATAGAGAAAGCAAAAGGCCATACATGGCAACTATGTCATACCCTAGAAAAGAATGATCCACACAGCTCAGGTGCCCTATACCATCGTGTAGCAACATAGTCCTGCAGGGGAAATAATAAAAAATTTTCCTTTACTTTCCATAATGATGATGGAAGAAAAACATGTCAAATACACCATAGCACAACATTATGAAATTGCAATAAATCAAGTATAAAAGAACTACAGAGCTACAAACCGTCCAAAAAACTGTTGTTGGCGTATCACTAAATGCAACCCTTGCTAGTCCAAAGTCACAGATTTTCAATTTGCAATTTGCATTTGCCAAAATATTTTTTGGTTTAAGATCACGATGGTAGACACTAGCTGCAATGAAACCCATTGAAATCAGAACAGAGTCAGCAAACACTTCGAAAACCTATTACGATAGCTACATAAAATTAAAGACGAGTACGACTGAAAAAGAGGCAGTAACATTATCATAAAGAGAAGCAGTCACCTGTATGCATATATTTCAAAGCACGAAGCATTTGGTAAAGGAAAAATTGATGGTGTTCACGAGTCAAATCATCATTTGCTTTAATAACTTGGTGAAGGTCAGACTCCATAAGCTCAAAAACAACAAATATGTCTTTGAACTCCCTCTTTGAGGGTGGCAACATAATGCGCTTAATTTCAACAATATCAGGATGCCGCAGAAGTCTGAGCAGCTTCACTTCACGCAGGATTCGAATAGCATCAGAAATGTGTTCAAACACATCATGTATCTTCTTAATTGCAACCTTCTCACCAGTATGAGTGTCAAGTGCTGCACATACAAGTCCATAACTTCCCTTTCCTATAACTTCTAGAATCTTGTAACGATTGGCATCGCCGTACTCAGTGAAGAAGTCCATCTCTTTTACATCCTGAACCAAGAAAACTATCATAAATCTTCATATACATGCATATCAAGATATCATTACAGATGACCATAAAGATATATTCAAGAAAAAGAACATAAAACTTTAAAACCAACACCCTCAAAAATCAGATCAAAGAATATTTTAGCAGGAATCTACAACTGGAAGTTTTAGTTGAGAAACAAAGAAACACTTTGCAACCAGGGATCAAATTCACAGTACGGTTATTAGCCAGTGGTTTTCAAGCTTCTTATCAGTTCAGAAATGTCTAACATGAACAAGATCATTCAACCATCTGGACTAATACTAAAACGACCTCAGAACTGAGACCCATAAAAAGTATATGCCAGCTTTGGAGATACTAAAGATAATCTTAGTGAGATGACAAAATCACAAAATACATCCATAAAACTCTATATTACAAAAAAGAAAAAGGAAAGCACAGGCCACCAATTTGGGGAACAAGAATCAGGTTCCACTGGATAATATAGTTGAAAATCTTTCAATAAAAGAATAAAGTGACGAATTTAATAAAATAAATCCATTTCTTGAAATTACAGGCCTTAATAACAGGAAAAAAAAAAGGGATGGATGATACCCTTGGAGAAGAAATCGGACCACACAAAACCAAACTAACACAGGGTAGAAGCGAGTAATGAATATAAAGATGACAAGAAAGAAAACTATATTCACAAAAGAAATGATTAGGAGATGAAGTCTGCAAGAAATGGATAAATCCAAGGTCTACACACATCGGCAATCACTGTTCTTCCGGTCAAGCGCTAAAAGGATAAAATAAATCTGATTAGGACTAAGGCCCTAAATTGATCAACTTCACCAAATCAGAGCTATCAGAGCACAATAGTCGAAGCTTAAAACTGAATTCAACTGAAAAAAGATTCTTCTCCAAAAATCTCGAAACTCGATATTCAGATTTTCATGGCTTCTTCTCTCACCCACACTTCCCCAGAAATAAATGGACAGCAATCAGAAACTAGATCGGACACTCCCATGTGCTTTCTTGGATCATTAAAAAGAATGCCAGAAATTTACATCTCTTTCTCCAAAAACTTACTGTGCAGCCACCAAGAAAATTCTTGCGGGATACATCCAGAAAAAAAACTCTTATCAGGAAAATTAAAGATCAAGTAACTCACCTTCCTGGTTTGATCTTGCTGCATCTTCCTCGCAAATTCCCAGAAATGTTGCACCAAGGAAATCAGTTTGTCTTATTCACCTCCCTCTCAAGCAAAACGGAGTAAAAGAAAAGAAAATTCTAACGGAAGAATTTTGAATTATCTCAGCAACCAAGTAGTTGAGAGAAAATCATCCGCATTTCCCCACCTACTCCTGCTTCTAATCGCTAAACCGCAGTCTCTCCTTATTATCACTTTCTTTTGGCGGCACCGCACATGCACCAATCACCAACCCTCTCTCTCATTCAAATCCAAAACCCCGTCCGAAAAATTCTCTCCCCAAGAAGAGAGATATATATATATATATATAAGCATATATGAAAACGAATTTGAACTAAAAAAAGAAAGCGATCTACACAGAGATGTGTTGTTAGGTCAAATATGAGTCTTTCTTAATTCAAGATAAACCCTAGATTTTGGAAGATTTGAAGATCGCAGAGCAACGAGAGAGAGAGAGAGAGAGAGAGAGAGAGACGACGATCTCCGATATGTGGGGATAAAATATAAATACGAAAATATTGGGTTTTATTTGTTAATTTCTTATCCACTTATTATTATTTATTTATTTATTTTTTGCAATTTCTTTGGTACTTCGCGTACGGGGAAACATCCGACCGACAAACGGCAGTGGTTAATTTTGTAATTTCGGTAGAATGGGGCCCGGATGGGCCATAATTTACCGTTAGTTGGAAAATATAATAATTTTGAAAAATATTTTTATTTATTTATTAATAATTAGGAAAATAAATGAATAATTTATTTATGTAAGGAAGGTGACTGCAAATAATTAATCTCAAGAAGTTATTTAATCTTCAAGTAATTAATGTAATTGATTATTAAAAAGAAGTAATTGAAGAGTTAATTAACTCCTTAATATTTAATAATTAAGGATAAGAGGTGCTTTAGAATTGCCACAAAAGAAGAAGCATCAATTGAGTTTCCTAAATCATTCACATGTTATCTAAATGATTATTGTTTTAATATTAATATTTTCTATTCTTTATATTTAAAAATTTTTTTCAAATATTTAATTTCATTTTATTTTTAAACAATATTTTTTAAAATATTAATATATTATATGTTTAACTTTTCAAATCAAAAAATTAAAAGTTTAAAACAAATAGGAAAGTCAATAATCAAATTATAATAAAAAAATATTATGAATTAGCGTATAATAAATATAAAATTTTGAAAATTAATTTAATTACAACATAATATGTATATTTCAATTAATAAGTATTTCATATGTAAAACGAGTTAATTGGATGGTATGTCAAAATCCGTGACAGTAAAAATGTAATTTTCAAAATGGATTAATTGTCAAATGCTGCACCAAACAAAAAACAAAAAAGAATGTGAAGAATTAAATAAATACGATATTTATGGAAGGTTCATGACCGACCATCAATTGGTCATTTTTTTGTTTAATTTTAATTAATTAAATACTAAGTTGAGAACATTAGTAATGATCTTATAATAATAATAATATATTTATTATTATATATTTTTTGAAGGCAACAATAATTTAAATTAGTATATAGGAAACCCATTTGATATGTAGTGGGCAATGCTGCATCCAAGTGGTGTTTGACGCCTTCAACATAGAACACGTGTTTTTTCACATTTTAAAAAATATG